CAATTCTATTTTGCCTCAATTATGACAATATGGATTCTACCACATTAGATATTTTATCAGAGGATGTTATATCACGATGTGCTTTGAATATAATTTACTTTTAGGTTAAAGTTGTGGGCGACACATTCAGTATATATCCAATGAATTAGACAGTAAGTGTAGAAAAGAAAAACAAAAAACACTGGTCTAATGCCTAAATTCTTGTTCTATCTCGCCATAGAGAAAATAAAAAAGAATTTGTGGAAGTAATCAGCAAATTATAACCTGTCACACAAACCGGTTCAGAAGGATTATAAAAATTGTATATGTATATTTTCCTATATGTTTATATGTTTCTATGGAAACTAAAAGTCAATAAGGTCACAACTAATATATACAACAGAATTTCCTTGCCTCGAAGGAAAAAATAAGTATATTAACACGAACTATATCTGTGTATATATTTTGCAATGTCATCATAATGTCACTATAACGTGTGGTACGTAATAGTCAGTACCAAATATGTCGACTTAACTACGATGTAATGTAACATTTCACGCCATGTATATAACACAATGAACTCAGTTTTAATAACTTTGATTTGTTAAACCCTTTTAGTTAATAACCGGCCCCTAACACCATATTTATTATCATTTATTGTTATGCTGAACTTTGAGTTTGCTCGTAAAAATATTACCACTATCGGAAAACAATGCCAATCGTGTTGACTTAACTACGAGTGCAGTGCAATAAAGATTAGTATGCCATAAACTCGCTCTGAATTGCTTGCATTTCAGATAAATTTTACCCTCCCCCGCGAACAAATTAAAAAGTGACCATAAATTAAACAAACACCATGTTTTAAAACCGGGGCCGCATATGGAGTCGTCAAAGAGCATTCAGCCTTTCAATACTATCGCGTCTTTGGCTGTGTCGTTAGTATATTCACGCAAGTTGACCCGTCAACCTAGATTTCGATAAGATGACACACTTTTTATTTCCGACTGTTTAGCGATTGTATTTTCTGGATTCTTTGATTTAACGTAGCATTTACTCTGTTCATTTAAAGTTCAAAGTTCCATTGGGATTACGTTGACACAGTATAACAATATCGGCACCGGTGATTAGTTTAGGCGTTGCCATAGCAACAGTGGGCCATGATTTTTTTCTGAATTTACCATACAACTAGAGTGAAGGTATGGCCTGCCTACAAAGTATGAACGAAATCGGTCCAGTTAAAAAAATCACACAAGAGTTTAAAGCCGCTCCCGGTGAAAAAAAGATATCAAAATAAGAAAAAAAATAAAAACTGTAACTTTGTGCCAGCACTCAAACTGAGTAGAATAAGCTATGTCAGACTTTTATAGTTTTGGAATTGTAGAAGGAGATACATTTAGCGCGAATCAGTTTTCGGGTTGTTGCCATGGCAAATGTGTGCCAGGATTGTTTCCAGAATTTACCATCTAACTAGAGTGACGGTATCACCCGTGTACCAAGTATTGGCGGTCCAGGCAAACAAATGTCAGAAGAGTTAAAAAGCGTTCCTGGTGAAAAATTACCACAAAATTCTCGGTAATGAAAAACATTTCAAAAAAAACAAATAATAACTTTGTGCCCACACTCAAGCTGAATAGAATGAGCCAAAGTTTTTATTCCTAGAGTTGTAAGGGGAGATACATTCGACGCGAAGCTATTAAACAGGTAATGGTTTATTGAAACACTTAAAATTCCTCAGATTGAATTAAAATTACACTAACTGCTAAAACACATATATAAAACATACAAATTTTACAAGAATTACTGTCTAAAGCACAAAAATGGTTTAAAAAATAAATCAACAGACTACAATTACAAAAAAACTATTAATAAATGTTGGTAATAATATTGGGAAAAAAATAAATGAAATAATAATAATAAAAAAGCAATAAACAGTAAATCAATGAAAGATGGAAATGAGAAAAAAAAACGTATAAAGGAGAAAAGTATTTATGTAATTTGCCAGAAGATGTGCTGTCTAAGGTTCGTGTTATTTTTGATAAATTGGGCAACTGGTATTTGTACATTCAGATTTGTATCACCCATTAATTTTAAAAAATTGTTGTAGTCACTCATATTCATGAAATTTATAATGTGCTTAGTAGTCTCTTCAAATAATGCTTTCCGCGATTTTTCGTAAAAGGGGCATTCAATCATGAAATGATACTCATCTTCTACTTTGTTATTTGAACACAGTTCGCAGATTCTTTTTCCTATTTAGGTTTTTGGTTTTGTGTACCTCCCTGTTTCAATTTATAGTTTATACCTAACTAGAGTTAATGCGTGACCTGCCTGCCACGATTGAGCGAAATCGACCCAGTCAAAAAAATCACAGAAGATTTAATACGTGAAGACACTGGAAATCACACACACACACGCAAGTGATTTTAAGGGCAATTCCAACGGAACAAATCGCTGACACAGGACGTTGACAATACGGGAGGTTGATATGTAAAGAATTCGTCGCGAAAGTAATGCACGGTGTGTGTCATTACCCATAATCCTCTGCGATTTGAACTAACTACCTGTCTGTGGATCCTTTTTGGCGAATAGTTTCATCAGATAATTATAATGAACTTCTCAGTATCTGGCTTTGTCATTGTATGGATGAAACAATCTACATGTTAGCTGCCATGTGATGAAGATGGATACTTGAATTGCTTACTTGTTGTTCAATACATTTCCCAAAGATTAACATCATTCTAATACCTCTATGAATTGCTTTTCACCAGACGTCGAGCTAAATTTGACATTCTAATATATTCCAAACGTACTTTTGAATAACAAATACAAGATTTCTTAAGAACGTAATAGGCACCCAAAAAAGAATTCCAATAATAGTTTTAGAGAAATCAATGTCCAATTAAAGTATAGAAAA